TTCATTTCTGGTTCACCGAGGTTTAGGAGTGCGTTGGCCGGCGGTTGAAACCGTGTGGACATCCGAGGTCGAGAGGAATTCTACCGCTGCACCGTGAACTCAGTATGTTCATATAATCACTGTTAAATAATCTTTGTTCCACATACTTTTTCAATATAGATTTTCCAAATTGAAACATCATTAAGACAAAGTTTATATATAACGTATTCACCGTATTGGATATCGATACCATATCACTTTATTGGTCTTGTTTTGCATTCGAATGTAGTCTGCGTTAGCATTGTTGACAGTTGGCTGATGTAGTTGTTAGCTATATCAGACTATTACGAATATTCGTCACATCTTCTGTATGCGAATTGTTCAGTGCTTCTGTTTAAAGATTTCAAAACTGGTAGTCTGTTTAAATGATAAATCAAAATAGTGAAAGTAACACAGGACAGGACATATAAAAACTTGGACCGTGGTGTTGCCATTTTAACGCATGCTTTGTACTTGATTGCATAGATGAATCACATATATGAGTTCTCATACATTCAAATATCCTACTTCAAGATAGTTATTCCATTCGTTAACCGTTTCTAGCTTTCGCGAAATTCTTCACTTCTGTCCACTTTAAGTACCCAGTCGCCTTGTGTGAAAACCCAAGCATTTTGATTTAGTTGTCATTTATATAAACATCCCCTTTCTCTCCGTCTCTCCTTGTTCATAAAACATACAAATCTACAGTGCAAATTTAAGCTGGTTTTCCGTTAATCTTTCTGACGGGTCGAGCACATACCCATTTGAATTACATTGTCATGCTTTAAGATATGCTCGGCATGTACGTCTTGTAGCTTGAATTTTGTTGATGCATCATATTGTATTTCAAAAGCCACTATTTTCTTCATAATTTCTTGGTCCTCAAATTAATAGAACGAACAAACTGAATAGCTATTACCTAGGTACATGAGACTATGCTTTACATTGCTAGTATCTTCAACCATGAGTAATATATGGTACTAATCCACACTTTAATTAATATTCCTTTTTTGTAGACGGATGCAGTTTATGACGCATCGTGCAACTCTTCTCATTCGCCTGCCCAGAATGAAAAGAATGTACCATGTACGGATATTTTTGCACAGCCATGCTGTACTGCGTCACCCGATAAGGTATCTGTCTTATCGCAAGATGAATTGGAAAATGTCAGACCTCAAAGTCCTCCACACATACCATCAGATATTAAAGATGTCTATCTTCCTAATAAGTATACGCCCCCGAAACACAGGGGTTTGCCAACTATTTTGGAAAATTCTGTTAAGAAAAACCAACGCTGCCACAGGTTATGCAGAAACACTGAGCGTTCCCCCTTACGAAGGCAGATATTTACAGGACAAACACTCGAAGAAGCATGCATCCCTACAGCTCCCGGCGTCGCCCCTCTGGATCCAGATCTTGTCTTATCAACAACACGCAAGCGTATCGCGAAGCGCCGGAGGCTTGCCAAGAAGTTAGGATTTAAAGGTATCACCATATCCAAAGAAACAGAAAATAGGTTCAGCAAATTCCTTCTAGAATCAGCTTTAAATTCTTCTCACAGTAGTTCAACTTCTGATTGAGTGAAGAAAATTTTCGTAGAGCCTCTCTGTAAAAGTCTATTCCACTCCCTACTGCGTCTTTCAATAAAATATAACATTGTATAGGGTTTTTAAAATGTATATTTACCGCTTCATTCTTGAACGTCTATAGCATTTTACTGTTTGTGGAAAGATTGTATATTTATATACCATTAACTCTAACTATTTTTACTTTCTATTGTACAATAAACATTAAATTGATACGGCAAACTAAACCTTGTTTTAACCGAAATATTTGCTTCTCACTTTTTCCGTTTAGAGGTACGGCTAATTAATTGATTAAGGTGCTTGGCTTTCAGCCACTGGTTTGTGAACTCGAACCAAACCAACCGTTGGATGTAACTAATTACCATGTGTAATTAAGTGCAAGTGGTTATTGAGCAATCTTCCTCTTCCAAAACTGAACATTGAAATCTACGCGAAAATATCCAAATAAATTAAGGATTGATTAGACAGTTAAAAATTGGGAAAATATCTGCAACTGTTCGCAAAAATGGTTAAGTGACTTACATAAAGTTACATAATGGCTTGTCATTGTTAGAGAATGTCATTTTAAAGGTGTGGTCTTGCTTATGTCACACGTCTGTTTTCTTTAATTATGTTAAGGGGAAACAACACTTGGATCACGATATTAGTTGATTTTGTGTTTAAAAAAATTGATTATGAACTGAAGTAATTGCAGTATGAGGACCAAATACTTCATACACAAAACCAACTAATATCGTGATCCAAGTGTTGTTTCCCCTTAACATAATTAAAGAAAACAGACGTGTGACATAAGCAAGACCACACCTTTAAAATGACATTCTCTAACAATGACAAGCCATTATGTAACTTTATGTAAGTCACTTAACCATTTTTGCGAACAGTTGCAGATATTTTCCCAATTTTTAACTGTCTAATCAATCCTTAATTTATTTGGATATTTTCGCGTAGATTTCAATGTTCAGTTTTGGAAGAGGAAGATTGCTCAATAACCACTTGCACTTAATTACACATGGTAATTAGTTACATCCAACGGTTGGTTTGGTTCGAGTTCACAAACCAGTGGCTGAAAGCCAAGCACCTTAATCAATTAATTAGCCGTACCTCTAAACGGAAAAAGTGAGAAGCAAATATTTCGGTTAAAACAAGGTTTAGTTTGCCGTATCAATTTAATGTTTATTGTACAATAGAAAGTAAAAATAGTTAGAGTTAATGGTATATAAATATACAATCTTTCCACAAACAGTAAAATGCTATAGACGTTCAAGAATGAAGCGGTAAATATACATTTTAAAAACCCTATACAATGTTATATTTTATTGAAAGACGCAGTAGGGAGTGGAATAGACTTTTACAGAGAGGCTCTACGAAAATTTTCTTCACTCAATCAGAAGTTGAACTACTGTGAGAAGAATTTAAAGCTGATTCTAGAAGGAATTTGCTGAACCTATTTTCTGTTTCTTTGGATATGGTGATACCTTTAAATCCTAACTTCTTGGCAAGCCTCCGGCGCTTCGCGATACGCTTGCGTGTTGTTGATAAGACAAGATCTGGATCCAGAGGGGCGACGCCGGGAGCTGTAGGGATGCATGCTTCTTCGAGTGTTTGTCCTGTAAATATCTGCCTTCGTAAGGGGGAACGCTCAGTGTTTCTGCATAACCTGTGGCAGCGTTGGTTTTTCTCAACAGAATTTTCCAAAATAGTTGGCAAACCCCTGTGTTTCGGGGGCGTATACTTATTAGGAAGATAGACATCTTTAATATCTGATGGTATGTGTGGAGGACTTTGAGGTCTGACATTTTCCAATTCATCTTGCGATAAGACAGATACCTTATCGGGTGACGCAGTACAGCATGGCTGTGCAAAAATATCCGTACATGGTACATTCTTTTCATTCTGGGCAGGCGAATGAGAAGAGTTGCACGATGCGTCATAAACTGCATCCGTCTACAAAAAAGGAATATTAATTAAAGTGTGGATTAGTACCATATATTACTCATGGTTGAAGATACTAGCAATGTAAAGCATAGTCTCATGTACCTAGGTAATAGCTATTCAGTTTGTTCGTTCTATTAATTTGAGGACCAAGAAATTATGAAGAAAATAGTGGCTTTTGAAATACAATATGATGCATCAACAAAATTCAAGCTACAAGACGTACATGCCGAGCATATCTTAAAGCATGACAATGTAATTCAAATGGGTATGTGCTCGACCCGTCAGAAAGATTAACGGAAAACCAGCTTAAATTTGCACTGTAGATTTGTATGTTTTATGAACAAGGAGAGACGGAGAGAAAGGGGATGTTTATATAAATGACAACTAAATCAAAATGCTTGGGTTTTCACACAAGGCGACTGGGTACTTAAAGTGGACAGAAGTGAAGAATTTCGCGAAAGCTAGAAACGGTTAACGAATGGAATAACTATCTTGAAGTAGGATGTTTGAATGTATGAGAACTCATATATGTGATTCATCTATGCAATCAAGTACAAAGCATGCGTTAAAATGGCAACACCACGGTCCAAGTTTTTATATGTCCTGTCCTGTGTTACTTTCACTATTTTGATTTATCATTTAAACAGACTACCAGTTTTGAAATCTTTAAACAGAAGCACTGAACAATTCGCATACAGAAGATGTGACGAATATTCGTAATAGTCTGATATAGCTAACAACTACATCAGCCAACTGTCAACAATGCTAACGCAGACTACATTCGAATGCAAAACAAGACCAATAAAGTGATATGGTATCGATATCCAATACGGTGAATACGTTATATATAAACTTTGTCTTAATGATGTTTCAATTTGGAAAATCTATATTGAAAAAGTATGTGGAACAAAGATTATTTAACAGTGATTATATGAACATACTGAGTTCACGGTGCAGCGGTAGAATTCCTCTCGACCTCGGATGTCCACACGGTTTCAACCGCCGGCCAACGCACTCCTAAACCTCGGTGAACCAGAAATGAAGCTGCTTAAGAGAAATCGGTTGAGCGAGAGGATAGAAACCCCATCCAATATCCAATATGCGAAGTCCTAAATATTCCCACGTGCTGTCGTCTTTTATTGATGTGCTGACTCATTTTCATTCCTGCACATCGAAAGTAATTTAACGTTGAACATATGTTTAGTATCAAACCCTTGTCATTCTGCTAACAACCCCATGCTGTAAAAATAAACATTGCTACAGAAAATTCAAGTCTCTAGCTTGAAGCCCTATATTCCACTGGGAACGTGAAGGAATGAAAATAAATAAATAAATAAATAAACAAGTAACTTATTCAACGTAGCAGACGCACTTACCTGAGTTTGCGGGTCTATCACAGACTTTCGACGATATCTTCTAGATGGTAGTGTTTGTTCGTCATGGGACAGTGCACATGTAGACTTGCGGCGTAATCTCAAGGATCTTCTGCGAGTTCCACTCGAGTCGGCACTTCCTGGTGGGGAATCAATGATATTTGTTAGGTCAAGACCCATGACAGATTTCCTTCCGCGCTTAGATCCGCTAAAAGGGATAAAAGACAGACAATAATGGGCGTTCATTCTCCTATATTATTGCAGCAACTTATAAAGAATAAGCATAGTGAACGCAAGTGCTTAATTAAGTAAATTTAATTGATTAAACACTTGCGTTTGCTTATATATATATTATATAACGAATGGACCGAAACTGACCTCATCGGAAAAATTGTGACAACTGGAGCTTAACCTGAAAAATAGGAAAGCAAACACACTGACCAACAGCCCACACTAAACCACAAATGGGGAAAACAACCCTGCGAGCAGAGCGAACGTCTATAGCAACAAGAAGAGTTGACTTAGGCGCGATGACTCAAGGTTCATTGCTTTGCATCATTCCATAAGTGATCCACTACATTCAGATTGCAAGTATCTTCGATATTGGATAGAGAAATATTGTTATATCATGGCAGAGTTGAAGGGACGAACGCACCAGAGACCTTTAAAGTAACAGTCGACATCAGAGGGCTAATTTAAGACTTTTATTCAATCCTAACCAGAATATATCACTGATTAACTTTAACCCAGAGTTCACGCCTTTCTTACCTAACTGTGACTCACATCTCTCCCTAATGTACCCCAATCCAGCCTCAAACAATCCTAATATTCCCACAACTTAACCCCAACAGTTTCTCGGCTTGACCCTGACTCTGATCTTTAACTAGTTCAACCATACACTCACCAAATATCCTGCACTTCCTTAATGATTTCTCGAAGAATTTAGCATCCCCTATCTAGTTTGAATAAACATAATATTTATTAAAAGCCACAGACAGTGAGACATAATTCCCCGAAGTATTTGAGTTATCTAAAAAAGTGAATGGCATAATTCTTCACTTTATGCTTCCTTACATATATTCTATCACATTGGTCTGTGGATATCACGTGGAAACTCTAAAATCATAAGAATATGCCTAAGAATGCATGCCTCATTGGAAAAGGACTATATGAGAACTTACCAGTATATAAAAGGGTAACACGCGAAACTGCAGTGTACGTGTAACTGGTTAAATACTGTTATCGGATGCCCGAACAGTAAGTGCTTAGGTGCTTTTGAGAATGGTAAATCAGCGATTTAAACACGAGACTGTGGAACTGACTACAAAACTGATGGGATCATAAGCCTCAGCCAACAGCTTCAGTGAGTGACAAACCGATGAGTAAAGTGAATTTCCGGACGGACTAGTCGGATGCGTCTCGTATCCTCAAAGTTACCGTCACAGCCCTGGTCCTGTTTGCCTTTAAGAATCTGGATGTAAACCCAAGTATCACACTCTTTGCTTCTGGATTCCACCTATAGATGCTTATTCATTTGTAAGATGATTCGTTATTTGACTCTCATTATTACCCATTAAAATGAGTGCGATGATACTTTTATCCGATCAAAGCACCGGAGTTGCTGACGGTGGAATTCTGGCTGCTTAGTGAAGCTACTATTTGAATGCAAATTTGTTATGGTGAGTTTTCATGATAGGTGCCTATGATTTAATATTCGCCTTTCGAATTCGTCTAGTGTGTTCATCAGTTCTGCATTAGTGCAGGTATATTTCGTGCAGGTTACCAAGGTTGATTCTGAGTTTGTGGGTGGGCTTAGTCTAGAAGTAAGTACAGGGCTAAAAGCTTCTAAACCACGGTCCTAGTTTGTAATCGTTCAGTAGATTCGTTTCTGACATTACATTGTTCCATTTCATCAGAGACTTTTCATTCCTCAGTATTCCAACAAGGTTTTGGACAAACCTTCTTCTAAATTGCTATTTGTGGTGTTGCAGATTTTTACGGATTGGATTTGTTTCCAAGATGCCTGAAGTGTTGCATATAAAACACCAGTCTGAACAGAATACTTTTTCGCTTGCAGCAGACAATGCACATATTTATTTGTCCTCGAAAACTGTGTAGTTCACCTATTCTGTGGGATCTCAGTCCAATTCTCAGATTTTCTTATCTGTAGAAGTAATAAAGCCGGGAGAAATTAAGAAAGCATAATCAGTGTGTGATGTCTGTCAATTATTAAAAATGGTTGATTGTGTAAATTGGAATCCCTCTTAAACGGACGTATCAATTTTTTTATTAATGGACCGCCAAGTTTTTGAGGAGCAGTTTAAATTACCTGTAACAGCATTGTGTTCGTTAATCTGATACTGATGTGAATTTAAAAAGGACTTGTGTCGATTTCGACTGCTCTTTCGTTCGTAGATGTATATGACCGCGGCTGGTCTTACAGTGAAAACAAGCAGGAACTTGTCGGAAAGTAACTTTGCTGAACTACTTTTTATTCCCATTCTTGGTGTAACGCCCCTGCCGTTCAGCTTGCAAATAGTAATGTGTTCTGTATTTAGAAGCAAGTTGACTAAGCATCTGGTCTGAAAACGGATAAAGGAGGCTTGAGTCGGCTTAAGCTTTTGGGTAAGAATTAGTGGGTAAGAAAAGCAAAGGAAGTGGGAAGGACATCGTTAACCAGTACTGGTCAACCACTTCAGTTCATCAAGTTGGTCCGCTTTGGAAAAGCTATTTTAAGTGAAATGATCCTCCAGTGAGATATTACTTTAGTAACTTCCAGAACTGAGACTTCGAACAGAAAGCTGCTAAGGGAAGTTGGACTGGCTAGGTAGATTATACGACGTTCTACGCTGATAGACCTAAGTCTGTTGCGTGTCTGGTTTACGGGATTTTTTGAGAAGTAGTTCACGTGATTGATTGACTCCCACTACTTTATCTTCCCATTTATTTCACTTGTGTTATAAATCATAAAACTCTGTTTCTCATGTTTGAACGTAGGTTTTTAATGAGTTAGTAGGATCATGACGCTTAAGTGCATCTTGCTTTCATGTCAGATCAATAAAATTGTCATGCATAATAAATGAGTGGCTTTTGATTTCTTTTCTAGGTTTTGTTCGAATATACACCTCAAAGTACTATCATGATTGCAAATGTGAAGTGGATCTAACTTGTTACGAAGGATTTGTAAAATATTGAATCATACTTTTATTTTTAACGAAGAATTAAGATGTAAAGATGGCAACTGATTGTGCAGAAGAAAGTACTGAAGCTATCCAAGACCCTACGGATCCTAGCTCTATTCCCGTCGACATCACAGAAATCTTTTTTTCTGCATGTCGAGTAGGACTAGAACCAGGTGAACTACTACATGAAAGTTGGTTCGACTTGCAGTATTCCATGTCGGCTATTGAAATTATGGATCCCAAAATGGATGCTCGGATTCAGGGAGGAAGAAGAGTTTTGACAATACTTGAGGCATTATCCACTAACCAGCTACCTCTGGGTCCTTTCACATCTCTTTCTCTACTTGTGGGTATCATGGATGAATTGCTGTCTGCATTTGTAAATTGGTTAACGGGAGATTCCCTAGCTCAAAGCATTTTTATATGTATGTACATGCATTGCACACCATTAGTTATCGACAAATATCTAGTTGCATTTTGTGAGTCGCTTCGCCGAATAGTTTTTCAGTTGCGTCATATAATCATCGCTGTCGGTGTTTTTGACGAGGAAGATCATTATACGTTTATTCATGGTATGCCTATTGAACAACCCCACCCAGTTTATTATTATTGCTATATGTCTAACGAAGATTCTAGCTATGTGTGCAGAATGACGACTATCGAATTAATTACTCATGTGAATGATTTATACACAAATCTGGAAAATGATTCCAGTGTATTTAGTGATAGAGAGGAAAATCTTCTTGCCGGACTACGTAGTCGTCTACAATTTGTCCACTGTTTATTACTGTTCACAAATCCTTTTTTTGAGCGCGTTATTTCAGCTATACGGGAATTTCAGCCGGATGATTTCGAAGGATATACAAAGATAGATTTTGATGCTGGAGAAACTGCATCTCTTTCGAAAGTATCTGAAATTCAAGACAATGCTATAGTCCCATGGGACTCTTTTATCTGTTTTTGTCGAGGAATATCACAGCATATCAGTGGTCTAAAATCGTTGAGTAATAAATTATTGGAAACTGCATATATCGGCGAAAAAGCTGGTGAAGGGAAGCATAGACCTAAGGATGCAACATACGGTCTCCCAGGTTTTGAAGTTTTTCTTAATCAAACTAGTGTACCTTCATATATGCCTAAGGTAGTAGATATTCATGATCGTCACAAATCGTTTGCTTATTTTTCTAATCTTTTTACAAGACTGGAACATATTTTATGCACATATGAAACATTTTCTCTATGGCATAAGTTATATCCTGATCCGTTGCGTCTTCAGAGTTTGTGGGCATTCATTCAGAAGTCTGGTCAAATATCCTGTTCTTATGTCAAAGATCTCCTGTTACACGATAATTGTAGCGAAGTAAACGAACCAACATTGAGTACTTGTGTTTTGTCAAGGACTATTACTTATATGCTTTATTTTGTTCTCATGTCCCAGGAAGACATCTCTGATTTTAAACCTCAGTCTTTCTCTCCAGTGAATTTCCACTGCTTCCTGAATTCGTGGAGCCAGATAGAATGTACTGCATATCGTCCACTAATCAAAGATATCATTTCTAAAACTCCTGAACTGACGAGTTTTTTTACAACACTTTCTAACCACTTCGCTCACGTAAGTTCAAGGTCTTTGATTTAACTTTTTTTTATTGTTTAGGGAATATGAATTCAGAAATTTTGTCCCACTTTGCTCTTTGAAGACTGAATAGCAACTGATTACAAAATGTCGTCCCACTAGATATTTGAAGTTAAGAAACTAACATACTAAGTACGAGGTTAGAAGTCAGAGTGTAAGATATGTAAGTAAGAGCATCTATGAAATGGAATCGAGATTTTCATACATGGTTTCAAAGTATCCACTCATTAAATTTGAAATAGCTAAGTAGAGAGTGTACGAAAAGCTAAGGCTAAACCGCACTTTAGGACGTTGAAGCCGTGTAAATCTAAGCAGATTGTGTATCGGTGATTGTTCGTACCACGAGGAAAAAGTTTGTAATTTTCAACACGTTATTTGATGAGAGGCTAGTAGATTTTATTTACAGTGTGCTCAGACACTTAAAAATCGGATTCAGATCTCTTGACACTACAGAAATGTTATTCAGCTGCTCTTTGCTATAAAGACTTTAATAATGAATATTTGTGTCTTCACCTGGATTTCATAGAAGGTGTCAAGTGTTTTGGAAGATAAGTGAAGTACTTAAGAAAGCACGGTTAGATTTAAACTTCTTACGTTGTAACCATCAGCCCTGATAGACTAATTGCTGTCAAAGGCTCAGCAAGGATACAAAAGGCTCGTGTGGCATTTGTGAACTTACGTCATCTTTAATTCAGGAGCAATATTTAACTACCCTTCAAATAACGCGTGTAGTGTTCCACCTCTCCTTGTTTACTGCTGTGGGGCATGGCCTTGGAAAGTAAAAAATGTGAAGCGATTAACTATCTTTAAGGACGGTTTCTATCTCTTGTGGTAGATTGTGCAGTATGGTGGGTAATAATGAGGTTAGGTGTAGTGTTAAGTAAGGACGGAAAATTAATCTGTGCAGAACTAATGTGTATCGACTTTATGTTATATGAGCTGAAATAAAGTAAAAACTCACGAAAAATACCCATTTATTCATAAGTAAAAGCACAGTTTTTGTTCAGCGAAGAAATTTCTTTTCAACGACTTCATTTTCAAGCTGTACAGTCGTATTTATATTACAGAAAAGGTCATTAAGTGGCACTAAATAATTGCTCAGTCAATATACATATATGTGATAAGAATAAGGATTATTAAAATGTTATAAGGGGTAGAGTTGAAGTGGATAAATTACAAAATTATTAAAGATTGTTTTATAAGTGAATTGAAAAATGTTTTAAAAATGTCAAGTGTTGTCTAAAAATTTTATAAAATAAGAGTACGATTACGATAAGAATGAAGATGTGAAGTGAAGTGGAAAGAATTCAAGTGGTAAAATAAAATAAAGTAAAAACAAGAAACAACATTACTATGACCAAGGTAAAGAAAGGGGTTTGACAAAACGTTTATGAACACATAATTTAGGTTTCTGTCCATGTATAGCTAAAGCTTCGGCTATGCATAAGTGAAGAAAACGTAAACTTTTGGATCGATTCGATTTTGCCATGTAGATAACTTTGAAAGATGAATCACGTGGGGCTAAATGACCTGACTCTAACAGGTGATCACAGATAGACGACTTCGCAGTTCTACGTTCGCCTTTCATTAACCAGACTGGATAGTGTTCAGCTACACGTTTTCGGAGATTACGCTTACAATGTCCAATATAAATAGCTCCACAAGAGCAGGTAAAAGAGTAAATACACATGGATGTGGACAAAAGCGGTAATCTATCCTTGACGCATTGTCTAATCATATTTCGGCTGGTAAAAATTAGTTGTAAGTCAGCTGCAGGAAAAGTACGTTTAATACATTTAGATAAACGATTTTTAATCAATTCTGAAATGGTGTCACCTTTGAATGCCAGACTCATAAAACAGTATCTTCTTCGGCACTGTAATTTGTCTGGGGGCGTGTTCTTTCTTGATGTTACGTTCGATAAACCTTGTAGGATAACCATTATTAAGGAGATTTGATCGAAGCTTATCTAGTTCACTGTCGATTGTCTCTTCAGAGCAGATTTTACGAATTCTAGAGCATAAGGAATGAATAAGGTTTCTCTTTCTCCCTAACGGTACCCAACTGCTGAAGTTAGTGTACTGCCCAGTGAATGTTGGCTTTCGGTAAATCGACCTTAGCAACGTACCATTCTCTCTTCTGTCTAGCTTCACATCGAGGAAGTGAAATGAGGAATTCGACTCTTCTTCGACCGTGAAAAGCAAAGATGGGTGAGAACCATTAAATATTCCAAGAAGTTCAGCAGTTGAAGAGTTTTCGTCACATACAATGAAAGTGTCATCTATATATCTTTTATACATAGACAAACTACCGATGTTTTCCTTTAGTGGGCCATTCTCTAAGCTAGCCATGAAGACGTCCGCTAAGAGCGGTCCTAAGGGAGAACCCATTGCGACTCCATCCCTTTGATTGTAGATGACATCATTAAATCTAAATTGCACATTCAGTGTGCATCTCAATAATGGTTGTTTAAGATCTTCAGTTGGTAACCCAATATTCATGCTATTTGAATCAATATACTCATATAGATGGCAGATAGTGTCTACTAGTGGGACATTTGTGAACAAAGAACAAACATATAGCGAAACCATATGCTTACTAGACACATTAATTTCATCAACACAACTGACAAAGTCAAAAGTATCCGAAAGACTATGTTTACATAGATTTAATCTCACTGGTTCCAGAATTTCCGCAAGCCATTTAGCGGTAGGGTGATACGGTGAATTCAGCATATCCAATACAGGTCGCAGAGGGACATCATCTTTGTGCACCTTTGGAAGACCATATAAACGGGGGATAGTTGAACCAGATGGTTTAAGCTGATCAAACAAATATGGAGTAATGACGCATTCTTTACTTATAAAAAGTAAAAACTGGCAAAGGATTTAAATTGGAGAAATAATTTATGCATATATGAGTCCGCATCGATTCAGTTAAGTAGAACGCGTTGCGTATGTCAAACCACTTTTCCCGAGTAATGTGACCAGATGCAGGATTAGATTGGAAAAGACTGAGAGGTTGTCGAATCAGTCACCAATCCTTGAATTGTCTGACTGGTTTGAACTGTGTTTGGTGGTATCATATCGCTTGCTGAGGTCCTCGGGATGCTAAAAACCAATGGTTATTTTACGTGGCTCAAAATCGTTGTCAGTGTCAGAGATTTATTCACTGCTTGTGATATCTCCGATTCACATTTTCCTCATCAGCCTTCATCTACATATTTTTTCTGTCCCATACATCTTCATCCATCTTTTCATTATATCCTTCCTCCTACTATTGTGTGCTCTACTCAATTGGTGAGGTTCCTTGCGAAGTCCTACGTTGGCGATTCATCTCAATTCATTAACTTGCCCTAAACTAATGTACTAGACTGAATTACGACTTGAATGTGAAGATGTGGCTCATTAACTTAAGCACTTGACTTTCAGTCAGTGTCATTGGTTTGAAGCTCGGTCTGACTACTTCAGCTCGACCTCACACAGTAAATTTAGCTCATAGCAGAGTACATAAAGCCCGTCTTTGGTAAATGAATGCCGACAACAGTCCTTGTTCTAGGTACTATGATCTCAAGAACAATTTAATTCTTTAACAAAGCGACTCAATGTTTTGTTAGTCATTATGTTGAATAGCTATCTCTAAATAATGTCCTTTGTGTATCACTCGGTAAACGTACTTCCGTGTGTGTTGTAGATTGCAAGGATTTCACAAAAGCTCGTTTTTGTTGTGTTTCACAAAATTAAACACGCTGCACTATCTTTACAGCATACTACAATTACTACCAGTTCGGATATTTGACTGCTGCAACAGACGCTAGTAGTACACTTCCCAACGTTGCAGTACTTATTCGTGAATTAATGAAGACTTTCCCTAGCTAAACCAAATGTTTGACTAATATTGTCTCTAACACAATGCCAAATGTTTTCGTTTCGTTGTATGTTGGTTTCTGAAAAATAAGAAACAGGTTGTATATAGTGTAATTTTGGGCTTCCTGTAAGTCATCTACCGTCATTCAGGACAAGCATACAGGTCACTATAACTGCTATTCACTTTTTTCTCTTCTTTAACAAAGGAAGTCTATATTTCTTTTAACAGTGAACGAGTAACAACAATCCAGTAGGAAACTGCCCGACTTAATATGGATCCCTCACTTCTGCGAAAAAATGACTGCTAGTCTGTAGGACAATCAAAGATAATTTTAGTCGAACTACCTTTAAGTTTTTTGGCATCTGGTACCTTATCCTATTTAATTTTGGTTGTAAGCATCGAAGGAATAGCTTGTAGCCAAATTAATGAACATTATTCAAATCACGGGATATACACATTTGTTCATAGGGAATAAAAAGACAATTGCAGCGGATAAAATTTTCTTTTCAACGAAATCATCAACTAGGTTGTACGTTCGTGTATTTATAATAAATGGGTAGGAAAGTTCCGGAAAAATTTCCGGTCAAGGCTCAGATTAATAAAATTACAATTAGGAATTAAAATGCCATAATAAACAGGGGGATGCATTCGTCCAGTATCCTTCTAGGAGTACGTCACTGCTCCTCTTGTAGCTTCGTAAGACTACATAAGGCTTTTTAATTCTTTTTAGTAACTGTTTTATCAGACTGATTACCCTACTATGGTAACTCTGAATATTGTCATCATAGTTATCTTACTAGTTTCCTGTTAAGTATTTCTATCTTTTCAGCACAGAAGTGGATGCTCAATCGCTTCTAGTTAGTGTTGTTAAGTTAATAGGGCACTCTTATTTGGCTGAATTATTTCCTTGTCTTAACCTAAAGCTCTCATCAATATTGTCAATTGCCTTAGCAATGTTTAGTGGTAAAAGGGGTGTCAAGAAAGTATATTACATTAATCAGTGCACTCCACCAGAACTCACGCAGCCATGTAACAGCTTATGGGAAGTGATGCAAACCAGTGGTGTCAGCCACTGATGCCCACTGTCCGCATTTTTGTTTAGCTTCTTCATATTTGTACCAATGGAATTGACCCTAACTGACTACTTCACTTACTTGGGAAGTTGCAGCTGCCCTAATAAATTTATTGCTGAGGAATTCTTGGCATGGATACAAAACGTTCGTGTGGCATTCGCTAAATTTAAGTCATCTTTAGCGTAGATGTGATATCTGGCCATCGACTAAGGGTGTGTGTACCGCACAGCAGTTCTCTATGTCGTTCTTTATAGCTTAGAAGTGAAAGATATAAAGCGGCTAAATCGTCTGTAACCACAAGTATTTTCGTTCTATCTTCCATTTTAAGTGGTACAATATGGTGGGTAATATTGAAGTTAGGCATGGAGTGTAAAGTAACGAAGCGAGGTCAGTTGATGTAGCAGTGAGACTACATCGATTGCAATGGCTAGGACGCGTGTCACTTATTCTGAACCATCGCTTTTCTCATCGACCAATGTTAGCTGAAATAAGACGAGGTTGCGAAAATGTCACGGGTGGCCAAATCAAATCCTACCATCTATCAATGAAGTCACAGTTGTTTGGAGCCAGACACGAGTGGTGGTGTAGACTGCGTGATTGGGATCGTCGAGGTTCTAAGAACCGATGACTTGAGACTGTTGTTAATGTGACTGAAAGTTGTTGTTTATATTGTGTATATGTATTCACTACTTATTTATTTCCAAATTCATTAGATTCTCATTGTTATTCTTATTCTTCCGTATATTTCCATTCATGAAAAGTCCCTCTGCATATTTTCTCTTTTATTTCTACACATTTGAGTGCCTTATAAAATGTAGCAACGTTAACTGCTGCATTTTTGTGCGAAGTCCTACCTTCAAAATGTAGTCAGTCAATGGTTAATACCACTGATGTAATTCTTTGTCTTTCTGTGACTTTATCCAAGTATGTCTGGAATAACACAAGTTAGTATTATTTGATTTTAAGATTTTTAAATGATCCAGGTGTTAGAGTAGTCAAAGGGTGACCAGTTAATATGAGATAATTTAACTCGAGTTTTTTGAATTGTGTGATTACTAAAGATGGTGCTTGTTGCACAATGTTGTGACATAGTCGAGTGTGTTCCACACAACTTAATTTTCATATCAGTTTAGTTAGTAAGTTTAAGACATTACATGGCTTAAGTTACATTGTCTAAAATCATTTTGCGTTGTTTGTAACAGTACACTGTTTCATCATTATTCAGTTCGCAAATATGAGAAAGTTTTTGCATAAATAAACAGTCGTTTTCAATTACCATTTGTATATGTAACAAAGGTCATGTAACACCGTCCTACATGTGACAAGGACAAAACGCGTGTCTAACATATCCAGTTTCCTGCTTAATTCGTTCATAAAACTCCCCTTTTACTCACCGTTTCCACTCAATAGAATTATATCATCCGTGTGCTTCAATGCCGACCAATCGTTCATATAGTAGCAAGTCACGCACTAGTATGGCTATTTTAAATGTGACAGAGCATATTTATCCAGGGACTACTGATAGTCATCACTTCAGGTAAAAATCCTGTAGTTGCGTGAGTTTGAATAGAATGCCCTGATGAGTATAAGATACTTTCTTAGTACTCCCCTTCGCAGCGAAGCATTACCACAGCACCTATCTTATGACGAAGTCAAACGCTCTCTTTAGGTCATAAACCATGGTGATGATCGTATAGTTTTGAATAGGATTGTGTTCTAGAAATCGTGAATTGATGAAGAATTCAATGTGTGCACCTTTATTTGAGTTTAAAACACGCGTGGTTATTTCAGACTTGTTTTCGCAAAGTTTCATTGTGCAATTATAACTCAACGTGTTTACATGGCATACTATGCAGACGAGGAAAGTAATGTGTTAGTATTCATCTTTTCTTTGAGACGTTTCGTATGTATTGTATTTTCCGTCATGATCATCTCTATGTGCGGAACTCACCAATTTTATTTTGATTGTGTTCCTCTTGTTTTACTAAATGCGTGTAGATTCCTGCAATTTACTGTTTAAATCGTTCACGTCAACGTTCAGCTCTTGCACCATGGTTGCAGCGTCTTCCAGATTTACTCGAGGAATGTGCACGTGCAGAATTTGTAATTGGTATTGAATTGATAAATGTTCTATCAAACAACACAAGTGCTAAATCCTTTGAATCACAGGGAGAGTTTGGCATTCCTTCATCACAGTTATCTGTTCCAGTAGAAATTCATCTATCACACTTTGTTACATATGTGTACTATTACCTTGCCTGGGATTACGTTATATCTGGTTTTCAATTGGATCTATACTCTCCAAATGAATGGTTATTCATTTATGCATTTATGATACATTTGTTCCGGAATATAAGTGATATAATCAATCGTCTAGCCCAAAATCATACCTTTTTGACATCTGTGAAAGCAGTTGACGTAGGAAACAAATCCACTGAAAATGAGACCATTAAATATGATCCTGTAAATGGAGCTGAGATTGCTGAGATCCGTAAAAGAAAAAAGAAGAAGAAACACAAAGAAAAAGGCAACACTTCTGCTATGAACACTAACAGCATAGAAACACCACACATGAATTCTGATTGCACAATTAAACCCATGCCACCAATGATACATGAAATTGGTTCAGTTTTCGAAGTGAGTATATCAAAGGCTAAACAATATTTCTTTTACAGAATAATCCTCATTAGACTTTTTGGTATTAGTGCTGTATACAACCATGAAAGTTTTAAAAAGAAGACTTAAAATACATAGGAAAAGCTATGAAAGTATACTGTTTCTTATAATTAAGCTGAAGTAATATAGGGCTCCATTCAATTTTTCCCACCTTTCAGGGGCATAGTACAAAACACAACAAGGATAGAATATTGAGGGTAAAATAGTCTTATCACACTTATATTGTTGGAGATTTTAAACTTGGACATATTAAGTACTTATTATTTATTGTCGACTGAATTACCTGGTATCTACAATAATTGATTTCGGTCGTCTTTTGGAAATAGCACTTTTAAGACTATTAAGTAAGACATATCCTAAAGATCATAATTTTCTTCAGAAACACAGTAATTAAAGTCTTTGAAACTGTAGTGTCTACTTGCAAAGTGTTACTGTATTTAATATTTACAATTGGTTGTTTACAACGAATGGCATATATATTTATGCAATTTCTGAATTTTCCTGTTATTAATTCATTAATGTAAATTGAATGAATTTCGTTTGCATATGCTTTCGTTTAACATACATCCTGATCTCGGAAATTTATTTCTAACATCTTGAGATGAAGTTATTCTTCAGAATTTACTTCAGGTGCAAGTTGTCAATAATGAATTGCCTCCTTCCTTTCCTGACAGTACATACTGGCAACAGTTAATTTCTTTTACTCATTCCAACTTAGCTGATGAAGAAATAGAAAGAAAGAAAGAACAGGTCATTGAAATAACTAGAAGGGAAACATTCATTGAACTTGTCATTATCAACTACTTATGCAGCTACAGACCTATCGGAAAGTAAAACAACACACAAATCAATATGAACTGAGTTATATTGAATAACAGATCTCTACTACTAATTGTTTTGTAAGTACCTGCAATTATGAGCACCGTCCAAAACTGAAATTGACGCCGACGTAACATGTAAGATCAGGTAGGAATTGTTATCGGATAAGTGGGATAGAAGAATGCAAAAGTAAACTATTCACCTGCGTAAACATCAGCCTCGTCTTGAAGACATTGTTAAAGAGAGTGCTCCTCTGTGTGGGGGCGTGAATATAAATGTATTTCAAACAACAAACAAGTAGTGTCAGATAAGTGTGTGAATTTAACTCCTAAATGATTAGTGATTCATAGGGTCCTATCGGATATATTCTGAAATGGCTATATGGACATGAGTAATTATCTTCGATAACTCTGGTTTCTGATGAATGTTTTTCATAAAATGGTCAGTAAAATATATCATCAGAAATAAGTGAGCATCGTGTATGCTGGAAGAGTGATTATCAGTGGGTAGTAATAATTAAGAAAGTATTTTGGATAGAGTGATCTGCGAGAGTATGGAAAGAAGTTACGGTGAAATCTTGCTTATTTGTGGTGTATAATACTGAGTTTTTTTTTGTGGAGACGTGGCTCACAGGTTCGAATTTCACCTCATTCAGTTCGGACAGCTGGTTAGCATCAACAACCGTGGGGCATGAAAGGCCTATTTCGGGAACTAAGCTCAAGTATAAAATCATATATTTGCTGATTGATTGGTCGTTATATCAAGATTGGTAACTATAATTTGTTTGAAATTATATGATATGAAATGATATTTCTGAAATAACTGCGTGAGATGACATTGAATTAAATTCACTTGACTAGTTCCTACAATGTCGTCATTAGTGGTTCACACGGATAGGCTGTAAACATTCATTTCCTTCTAAGTTTTATATGCAGACTGGTCATTACATTACGAATCATGACTGATTTTTGAGTTGTAAATTTTATTCCCTTTGAAACGGTATTTAGGGAATTTTATGCACTCATTTTTATAGTGCTATTTTAGTAATATCCCCTTCACTCATTCCAGTAGGTAATTTCAAGTGTGTACAGTGTATAACCGAAGTTAAGTTATAATTGCGTGTTCGAAAGGTTCCAGCTCAAACTCAGTGAAAGGTCCACACTGAATAGTCAGTTATCTATATTGCCGAATTAATGAAGATAATCTCACTACACAGGTGAACGACTGAAGTAAAGTGTGTGGAAATACTAATCGTTTATGCTCGAAGGAATTCAAAGATATATTTTACCTTCGTTATGATCAGTCTTCGAATACTTTCACAAGCATTTTATAAAGTAATGTCAAGTTGCCTTGAGTTTTTGTCGTCAGCTGGTTTTCGTAGGAGAAAAATGTCAATAGTTTATGTATGTTTGTTCTCCATCTTTACTAGGAATTGGTGAATGTATAGTTTTATTGCCAAATCACTATTACATAAAAGCTTTTACATCCAACATAAACATTGATTTTTCCTTTGTTTTACTTCAAACTTTTTCAGGCTTACGTAATTAATATACATCAGTATATAAATACAGCAAGTTTGTATGCTATCCGCGCTCTTCAACGTGATAGTGGGATCGAAATAAATGAAAACGTTCAAAATTCAAATTCTCCGGACAATACACTGCCGCATAGTTTTATAAATAGAACTACATGTCTTGAGTCATATGCCAGAAGGCTTGGAATCTTTCTCATTCCTCAAAACTCCCCTCTTACCGAGTTAGGCCTATGTGATAAATGTGACAATGACCTGTGTATTATTACGTCAAGAGTTACATCTATAATACCGACTTCTGTTATACTTTCGACACTATAAAATGTGGGGAAAATATATTCTTGAAGAAGAGGGAAGGGTTCGTTTCGCTTGTGGATATCCATCAATCAGATGTTCACCTGCTCATCGCTAGAACAAACTTATTGCAGACCAACAATCACTGCATTTCTCGATACCTAAACTGTCACGATTTGGTAAAGAGAACGGTTCACTGAAACTGTCAGCTACAGAGAGGCATCTCTGATAAGTTTATCAATATTGTCAAATTTCTATACAAAAACACTTCAAGTGTAGTGAGGATATACAGTTATGTATAACGAATGTTCTCAACTAGCCATAGGGGTTAGATAGGACTGTTTCATTAGTGACATTACAAAGGATTTGTATGGTGGTAGTGTGTATCTACTAGCTGGGAGATGACTATTCCTCCTTTGATAAGCAACTGATATAGTCCTACGATGGCACCTAATCGGCATGATATGTATATCGAAACATTATTAAGAGGAATTTGTGACCGCATTTACTTCTGTAGGTTCGTCGTTAGAAATAGAAAATTTTGCACATCTAATGTTAGTAGACATACGTATAAATCATAATTGTCTTTATTTCAGCGATAGTAAAGTAAATAGCTCCAATGTTTTGTTCATTTAATTGGTGGTTGGTGACTAGCAGTGGAATCCAGCATGCGCATTTTGTTCTATTTGGGACTCGCCAGCTGGATGTACCTGCATTACTCAGTGAGTTGTGATGTTCCCACCGAGACTCGAACCCAGTGCCCATAGTTTCAAACGCCAGAGCATTATCCACTAGGCCGCTTGGGCCACGAGAGCCACCTCTTGTGCAACGGGTCATATTGATTTAATTAATTAACTGTATAACACTGTGTGATATATCAAAATAAAATCTTATCTATAATGGAGTTATACTCTACCGTAGTGCCCAAGTTTTATGCTTATATCAAAGCAGTAACTTTGTCTTATCTCCCTTGAGCACCAGTAGCATCTTTTCTGGAGTTTCTTCGCCCTTTTTACAACAACTAAACCGTCTACCTGATGACAAATAAGTGAGCAATGACTGAGCCATAATTTTTTATACTTACGCTGAATATTTTGGACTATACTTCACAACATCACGTGGTGTATTACTCAAATATAGAGGGAAAGCCATTCCACTCATTATAGTCAACGTAATTTAAGACAGTTTCTTGGTAATTAATTGGTTCGGGAAAAAATGAGATTATGCTGTTCTCTTCAAACTTATTGAAAGAACCAGACTTGTGACCCAAATGGACTGAGATATTTTGTTTTGGTTATTTTTAAATTTCTAATGACAACGAAAAATCCATAGCATTAAATTCGTCATTCACAAACTACGCAGGTCACGACGAGAATTCACCACCATTTCCTTTGGAAATCAAGAATATTCACATCACAGCACCAGAGACTATAAGTGTAAATCAAGAAAAACATTAAAACAACATAACGATACACATCACTCACTGACATGAGTAGCCTCATGACACTTGTGTGCAAAGGAAATTGTAGTGAACTGTCACCTGAAACTGTGTTATTTGCAAATGACTAATGTGATTCTATCAAACCAATTAGCCAAAATAGCTAGACACAATTCGGTCGTTTGGGATGAGTCAATGTGGGTACGTCGGTAATAAGGTAGGCACCAAACGAGTGGAACAACTGAACAGTATGTAGACAACTTCGATCTCGCTAGCAAGCATTGGTGCATCATGCAGGTGGTTTCCAACTATCCATGCTAGTCACTAGTAAGTACCACCAAGCTAAAATGTCTCTTCTCGTTTTCTTGTCTATTTAAAATTGTCTTAGTTGACACATTTCCTAAAAATATTGAAATAAATAAATAGGACACAAGGTGCAGGACTGGTTTTTATCACATAAAATACTTATAATAGGTTACTAAGAGAATTTTCCATATGTTTTGATATGCTATGTGCGATGGTGGCTCAGCGTTAGAATGCTCGCCAACCATGTATGTAGTTCGGGGTGCGATCTCCGGCCGACGCACTCCTTTACTTCGCCAAGCCGGTAATAAAACAGGTAAAGAGGAAAGGTTGGGTATGAGGTTAACAACGCCATCCAGTAGAAATAAATACCATTGCTACTAAAATTTCAAGGCTTGAAGCCCTCTGTTCCACTGGGAACGTAAAGGAATAAAATAATAAATAAATAAAAAGATTTGATATATCATGTGCGTTACCAAAACGATCAATTAGAATGTTGAGATATCTTTTATTTATGGCTATGTACAATTACATACAATTTTACTGGTCTTCACTATTCATATCCTCTGGCAATACACCCAATGCTTGCTCCAGTTCCAATATTGCCTGTTCAATTTCATAATTCTTGCCAACCAAGCTAACCCAAGTCTCTTCTAATTCTTTGAGGTGTTTACCAGCAGCCGTTTGTTCCTGTTTTCGACGCCAATTTATCTCCTGAATTTTTCGCCTTTTTATTCAAAAAACATAAAAGACAATATGAAACTGAACAGGCAGCTCAGATTAATAAAAGAAAATTACAGACAAAACCACACTTAGTAGACTTATCACTTGGCAAGTCTTTCACGAACTAATACAAAGATAGAAACTTTGGTCCAGAGAAACCTTAAAAAGTTATTATTCACTGAAATGTATCCCCTACTGCAAATGCATGCCTTGTATCAACCACCAATTTGTGACTGAGGAACAGAAAGACATTCTACAATTGGTTCATGACTGTAGATTAATAGAGTATACATAGGTATGTGAAAACATTCTAAAAAAAGATGAAATTTTGAGAGGCATAGTAACTGATCTGTAAAGTTTTATAAATTACAACAGCAGTGCAGGCCATAAAGCGATGAGTGAGTAAATATAGCCTTCATAACACGTTCTCAAGGCTAAGAATAGCTGAACACACTGCAGCATTACGCACATGACTTTTTACATTGGACTACTAATTGCCCCGGTATCTACTCAAATGTGTCGGAAATTCTGGATATCCTAATGAAAAGATATCTAATGAGAACTTGAGAATGGTCAGTCGAAGTACTTCGCAAATGAAAACGTAGAACAAATCGGTGTCCAAGTTAATTGTATGAAATGTTGTAAAAAGTAGCAGCTATTTCTTGACGTAATCTTGATTCACAAAAGTCTACTACAAAGAGAGAAGCCAATCACCAGCAGTAGAATGCTATCTGGTGAGAGCATAAAAAGAAACATGCAGAAATAGAATATCACATCAAACAAAAATGAATACAAGGAAAAGAATAATTTAGTTTAGACACGCAACTTTCTTCACTGACGCACTAAGAGCAACACGTGTGTTGCTGTGGCTATTTCGCAAAGTATATGGAATGCTGTAAAATAAACAGTGATTCTAAGTATTTAGAGATTTGTCTGCTGTACCTGTTTTATAGTCGTATAATAGGATAGACTAAAACTATCGCGCAACTGACTCAATCCCTAGTCAGACAGCATTAGGTAATGATAGGCAAATCAGAATGTAACCGGTTACTCAGTACACATTGTTTGTGGGCTAAACTATGAGTTATAATTTATTTCTGATGGTTTAGGATGCTTAATCTGAAGTAGATATAGCTGGATTCAAACTACGGACTAACTATATAAAAGCCAAATAATGGAGATAACGAGTCACATACATACCCCTTATAATCTTCAAGAACTTGGAAAGCTGCAATAATCCGCATTGAATCACCCAACAACAATACAATGATGTCACATGTCAGGTGATTTACAACGGAAAACTCGGTGAAGCTGTGGTGAGAGCTGTCTACTAGCCAAATTGGTAGACAGTAATTTACGTCAATGTTTACGTTCCCAAGATTTGTCGTGGGAAAATGTGAACAAAGATTGATTCAAAACCGACCACAGCAGACTTTGCGTAGGCGGATGCAGTTAACATATAGAGGATTTGACATTCAAGAAACAGTCACAAATAGATGAAAGATTAACTTTACATGAGAAACAACCAATCGGAAGACTGTGTTTGTTTGTTTAAATATCCATAGTAATGTACATGAAAATATATAAATATGCGTTGATTTCCTTAATAAATGATCTGTTGCCTGACTCTTGCCTTCTGTCGTTACAAAGCTTCTGAATTGAAGACAGAAATAAAACAAGGCTGCTTACTATCATCGATGCTATTCCTGTTTGTGATCGACTGGATTATGCAACAGACTGTGAGAAGACGAATACATTGGGCCGACAAGAAGGCTCTAGAAAACCGAGATCTAACGGATGATTTATGTCTAATGTCAAAAAAACTCGAAGAACTACAAGTGAAAATCAACAAATTGGTAGAAGAAGCAGCAAAGACATAACTTCAGCTGAACACAAGGAATACAGAGGTGACGAAGATAACCAACCAACAACACACACCGATCATTATCAATGGAAGAAATCTGAAGGTCACCTCTTTTTCTTAACAAGGCATCACCGTTTCAACTACAGACGGCACAGATGAGGATATAAAAGTTAGGGTCGGAAAAGTAAGATAAACGTTTATTGCTCTAAAATCAGTGAGGCAACCTACTGCATTCAACATAAGGAACAAAATGCCTATCTTCAACATCAGAGTCGTCAGTTCTTCTATATGGTTCAGAAACTTAGTGAGTCACGAAAATACTCTTATAACCAGCTTCAGACTTTCATCAATAGCTGCCTTCATTGGTTGGATAGTGAAGAGCGTATAGCTGTCTGGAAAGGTGAAGCGACAAGGAACTCTGGAAACGAACCAGCTGAGGACCTATTGCCTAAAAAATAAGTCGAATAAAATGGAGATATACTGAACACGCTGAGGATATTGTTGAATAGCACTGCGCGCCAGACCCTCGAGTTGAACCCGAATGAGAAAGAGCGAATCCGTCGTCCGAGAATGACATGCGGAGATCATGTGGAAAGGAGATGAGAGCTTAAGGGCAATCGTGGAGTTAGGTAAAAAGGACTGCAAGAAACAGGGTGAAACTGGGATGAGCTGTTGAAGCCAGAAGTTACACTCGGAACCTAAGGGAATAATTATAATAAATTTTTTCCGTAATATTCATGAAATTTCTAACTGTGAAGTAGGTGGACACATTCGCAATGTGGCTAAAAACTTACCACAGTCAAATGAACTTATCCCGTATTTTCACTTTCGTGAGTCCAAACATTTCATTTACCTTTGCCTTTCGTTCATATTTCCTCTATTCATTATTTTATTATCATTCAAACTGCACTTTTTTATGTAGCATTTCAAAGAATGTCATCCTTAGGTTTTGTATTTAATACAATACTTCCAATGTTTTCACTAGAAATCTCACAATTAAACTCAAATGTTCTACGGAAGGGTCAATCTTGATTAGAAGTTATTTTTCGCTTTTATAGTAAATAACATGAAGAGTCAGTAAAAGTTGATGCGACAATTATTCGCACGGATACTTTAGTGATTACGCTTCTTTTCGCTCTTTATCCGTTACTTAACTCCAGTTGAGGTATCGTGCGACAAAATTGTTCTTCTAGAACACAGAACAATCTGTTTGATATCTTTTAACCTTCAACAACAAGTTACTATAAATATCAGCCCACGAAGATTTTGACTATATGACTGAGCCACGTAGGGTGGCACAGACCCTTGAAACGCTAAGAACTAATGATTTGAGACTATTGGTAACACGGCTAAAAATTATTTATAATAGTTTCCGCACATTTTTGTATCTATCTTAGAGTATGCTTTACGAAGTGTGACAAAATGACTGTACTTTTGTACAGAGTCCTACTTTAAAAGAGATCAGTTTTATTTAGTTTCGCAAATATATTAGTAATAGACTGGATTTTTTTAATGTTAAACAGTTTTGTTGAACATGTCACTCGTTTTTCTCAATTCATTTATATGCAAATCATAAGTTACCTTATTTCCAAGAGTTCTTTCTCGTAAATTTGCAAAGAGTTTTCTAATACATTGTTGTACTGTTTCCAAGCATTGCATCCGTATTCTGCCATTAATTCGAGATTTTCAATTCTTGTTGCTTGATGTTCTAACTGTGCCTGTTTGAAGAGTCAGTTAACAATATAAGATACATTACTTCAGCATTCTCCATTGCGTCTTGCCAAGCTTTCACGTCGGTCATTTTTCCAGCAGGGGGCGGTGGCAACTCGTAACGTTTCATACTTAACATTTCCATTGGTAGACGGTTGGAAAGCCTGTCAAACTCAGCTTTCATCACCTCCGTTTCGAACTTCATTTGAATCGGTCCACATAAAGAGGGAAGGTGTTCCAAATAGTTTTTTGTCGGCCTGTATCGTTTCATCTCCTCTTCGACTAGAAGAGCCGCGGCTTCTCTTATTCCAGGATCATCATATCCCTTATCGAAGTATGGAAGCGCGTCAACAACTCCTAAGTGTTCGGACGTCATTTAATGGAAACCTGATAAAGATTTCATGAAACAAAATAAGTTAACGAATAAGGAATATATTGACGAATATTGTCAATTGTAGATTATGAAACAAAAACAATTCTTGTGACCATGTATGTAAAAGTTGATAAATCTTTTCTGTTTACGTTGAATATTAATCAGATGCCATGTTTTGAAACCAGTTTGTGAATCTCGACTCTAAGTAACCTTATCATTCCTTCATCTTTTTTACCCGCTGCTAACGGTTAAATGTCACACGACATCACATTGCTTTGCTAGGTGCATATTACGAATGTCAATATATCAATAGAACAAGTTATAACACTAGCTGTTGAAAAGATGATATCAATTATAAGGTAATGCAAATATATTTGTGAATGAGTCAGTAAAACTGACCGGCAATATCGAGTATTCAATCATAAATCTGTCCCTCGTGTCCTAGCCAAGAAATCAAACTTTGCAGACAGGTACTATTGTTCATTGATATTACTACTTACTGCGAATTCTCGAAGTACATGTGTCAAGATTTCCTCGCATATGCCGGTTTAATAACTTCTATTATTGTATTATTCCCACAGTATTTAAACACTCGAAATTCCTGGATTTCATGATACAGATACCGAAACTTGAGGAATAATTTGACTTGGCTATACAAACTACAACTCTAAATGGTCTTTGAAGGGCATATATAAGAGTGCCTACTATAGACTAGCTTCACCCAATGACTAGTTTTATCAAGCTTGCTTGGGAGCTGGAATGCATTTTTAGTCTAATTAGACTAAACTAGACCTTTATAACGGCTTAACTAACATATTAATCAAAAAACCACCACAATGCTCCACGGTTATAATATGTTAAGGAGGAGAACGAATACAAAATAAAACCGTAGTGAAAAAAATGTGCATATATGAACAGAAAAATAAAGCGACTACTGATGAAGAAAAGTGAAAATTGAATAAGCACTTATAAGTGCTGATTTCTCATGTGATAACATATGTGCGGATATGGCGTGATGACTATTTTGAGGCCCAAACGACGACATCCCATTGATGTACCGTAGTGTAAACTTTAGAGCCTTGCGCCGCTTTCAATTTCCAATATCCAATGTCGTTTTTACGAGCTAGTATAAACCAATTTGATTTCTTTGTGCTCGCCTCTTGATTGTGAGGTAGAGTTCCCTGATCTTCGGTAAACGTCTGCGTAGCTCGTCCCGCCACTCGACTTTCGTAGCTTTGGTTGACTCCAAAAGGAGTAGTGCATGGATTAATTATATGTGGTTTGTAGTATGAGGTGTATTAAGACTGTTACTACTGTGAATGGAGTTGATACTTTCATCAGTTGGTCCCTCGGTATCGTCGTCAATAGAAAAGATATAATAATAATGGTATCATAAGGAAGATGCTTCCAGCGAATTTCCCTGGAGTATCGATTAAATAGCAGATTAGAATAGGCAAAAGAGATGATGAATATTCTAATCAGCGTAGATTGCTTAAAGTAGTCTTAGGTTCTCCTGATGAACGGAATCATCTACTGGCTAATGTACACAACCTTGCCGGGTCAGGAATTTCAGTCAGACCTGATTTATCTCTTGAAAACAGACTTAAACGAAAAGAAGTATTGTCCCAGCTAGAAACAAGACGTAAAAATGGTGAGACTAACATTAAACTGGTGGGTTTGCAAATAGTCAGGTCTTGGAAACGTATGCTTCCAAGACCTGTGTGGATAAGCCGGACCGTATAGGAAGCCTGATGGTAGTGTACACTAATATACGTAGTATCGGGAACAAATTTCATGAGCTAGGTGTATTAGTGGAAGCCCAAGTATTGTGGCCATTACTGAAACATGGATGGTTTCTGGATTAGATGACACACCTGAGCTATGCGGATTTAGTTGCTTGCGCAGCGACAGGGTTAAGGGTCGTAAAGGTGGAGGGGTTGCTCTGTACATCAACAACTCCCTACATGTTCGTTCCGTGAAATCTGAAGCGCATGACAGTGGGACAAGTGAAGCAATTAGCTGTGAAGTAAGCTTCGCAATTGGCACTCTACTCATTGGGGTTCTGTATAGAAGTCCCTATTGTCAGTGTGATGACTTTATTTTAGATCACCTCAAACAATGGAGTAAACACAGTAGCTGTCTTATTCTAGGTGATTTTAATGCACCTCATATAGACTGGGTAGCTGTCACATCTCCAGGATCCGCTAATAAGTTTGACAGCCGGTTACTCTTGACTACCATGGAAAATGCCCTGACACAACATGTCTTAGGTAGTTCAAGATTCGGTTCTACCCAAGGATCTTCCTTGCTGGACTTAGTGCTTACTCATGACAACGACGACGTGGATGGTCTAGTTATTCATCCACCTCTAGCAAACAGTGATCATGGGGTGTTAGATTTTAACTTAAGGGCTGGCAATTTAGCCAGTTTTCAACCCAAATCCCAACCTAGTGTTTGACATGCTGACATAGTCGCTATAAAGGAGAGTGCTTCAACTGCCGACTGGACAGTCGATATGGTCTCATCCATTGAAGATGAATGGGATAGATTTAAGAATACACTTGAGAAGGTTACCACTGATTTCATTCCCTGGAGGGTTCCTAAAAGGCCAACAAATCGGCCACCATGGATAAATAGACAAGCTATAACACTCCTAAGACGGAGAAAAAGGTTCTGGAATCTCTTTGTTTCTACTGGGCTACAGCAGTTCCGGCTGAAATACTGTGAAACCAGAAACCAGTGTAAAACTTTGATTCACCAGTCAAGGATAGCTTACGAAACCCAGTTAGTTAAAAGTTCACCAGGCTGCCCAAAAAGACTCTTCTCATATATCAAGAGAAGAACACGTAAGAGTGATGCTATCCCACCTCTTATGCTTGAAGATGACCGGACAAACATGGCTGAGGATAACTTGACTAAGGCTGAGGCTTTGTCCAAGCACTTTAGTCAAGTATTCTCTGATAATATTGACACCAGCTTTGTAACTTTTCCAGAAGGTAACTTGAAAATGGCACCCTTATACATTGGAAAGGATACTGTCCTAAAGTGGCTTCTAAGGCTCAATCCTGGTAAGTCCAGTGGCCCTGATGAACTCCACCCACGTATATTAACAGCATTGGCTGAAAACATAGCCGAGCCATTGTCGGTAATCTTCAATATGTCTCTGGACCAGTCTAAATGTCCAAGAGACTGGAAAGATGCCATCATTAGTCCGGTCTTCAAAACCGGATCTAGAAACTTAGTTCAGAACTATCGTCCTGTTAGTTTCACCAGTATTGTTGTTAAACTACTAGAAAGAATAATTCGTGATGCTATCATTCAGTCCATTGAAGGGAACAAACTTTTCACTGTGGAACAGCATGGTTTTAGAGCAGGTCATTCTTGCTTGACAAACCTTCTTTTGGCCAGAGAAAGTTGGGCAAGCTCAGCTGGTGCTAATATACCGGTGGATGCCATATTCATCGACCTTAGCAAGGCGTTTGACAGGGTTTCTCATTCAGGTCTTCTAGTAAAGTTAGGTAGTCTGGGAATCAATAAAGTGGTTGCCGACTGGATTCAAGACTTTCTAAAGGACAGAAGACAAAGAGTACGAGTTAACGGGGTTTTATCAACATGGGAATCGGTTAAGAGTGGCGTTCCTCAGGGTACAATTCTAGACCTACTTCTTTTCCTGATTTATGTTAATGAGATTCCATCGGTAGTTAAGTCATCCTGCTTACTGTTTGCTGATGACATCAAGATATGGTGGGCTTTACACGATGACAGTGACCAACTTGCTTTGCAGGAAGATTTAAACTTGTTAAGTGATTGGTGTAAGCACTGGGCCTTGGAGATTAACTTAAGCAAGAGTGTAGTTATGCATGTATCTCATAGTCACGAACACAATTACTCAATGAATGGCATTACTCTCCCAGTGGTCACTGAGTACAAGGACTTGGGAGTGGTTGTGCAGCATGACTTGAAAACAGCAACAAACTGTAGAGCTGCAGTCACTAAGGGTTTTCGAATACTATGGGCCATGCGCAAGGCTTTTGCGAATTTTGACGCTGAAATATTTCGTATATTATATCCGACTTAAATCAGACTTCATTTGGAATATGGGATCCAGGCAGCGAGTCCGTGTTTCAAATACGAAATATACTTATTAGAAAGGGTGTAAAGAGTAGGAACTAAGCTAATAAAGGGTTTCTCAACCCTCTCATATGAAGAGAGGTTAAGTCGACTGGGTTTATTTCCACTGTCATACAGACGACTTAGGGGTGACCTATTACTAGCATACCATATCCTAAGAAATGATTTTGGAGCTAATTTATCTAATTTATTTCTTCCTTCTAGTACGAACCAATTGCGAGGACATCACCTCAAGGTTCAAAAACCACGGTTGAATCGTCTGCGTCTGGAGATCCGTATTTCGCATTGAATTGTGAACCATTGGAACTCTCTACCGGAAGACGTCATATCAGCACCATCCGTTGATTCATTCAAGGCGAGATTGGACCTCCTGTGTGTAACAAATTGAAAGGATTAACACAGGCATATGGCCTACTATCCTAAATAAATTGTAAACTGTAAACTATACATAATTAGTGAAGGTATTCAGACTAACAGACAGAAAAAGAATAAGAAAACGTAACAACAGTCAGTCAACCAGTATATATATACCAGTAATAATGATAATAATAATAATAGGTGTAGTTAAAGCTGTCAGGAGAGTAAGACGGAAGAGAATGTAAAGAAGTAAAACGACCAGTTTAATTGTTTACCTTTGAATGGTGTATGCGATTTTAAGGGGATAGGCCATTTGGATGAAGTCCTTGTGTCGCTGCATGGTTGTCCAGCCTTCGCTTAAAGGCGTTCACAGATGGTGCCATAGCTACATCTGCCGGTAAGGAATTCCAGGGACGGCAAACCCGCAGGGAAAAGAAGTGGGAGCGCACCCGGGTCCGTGCCCTCTGATGATCTATCGTTCTAGGATTTCCACGAGGGAGCCTATATCTACGCAATGGCAGAACACCTTTGTTTGGGTGATTCTGATCATTTGTTATTTTGTAAGCAGTAATTAAATCCCCCCTAAGACGACGGTTACTAAGTGTGAATAGGCCTAATTTCTTCAGCCTTTCATCATATGGTTTATTTCGAAGACCGACCACTCCTTTTGTTGCCCGTCGTTGAACTCTTTCCAAGAGGTTGGCGTCTCTTCTAAGCAGTGGGGGGTGCAATGACATTATGCACTTCAAGATGCGGTCTGACGTATGTTTTATACAACCTTAGAAAGAGCTCAGGGGTGCGTGCACCTAACTGTCAATGTGTAAAGTGTATGACCCCATATACCCTCGCTACATCCCCCATGTAATTTACGCTTGTGTCCACTTTTTCTGTTAGAACTAGACCTAAGTCACGTTCCGACGTTGTGCAGGAGAGGCGTTCATTGTACAGGGTGTAACTTGCATTCTGCAGTCTACAGGTGCGTAACTTCACTACTTTGCACTTTTTCAGGTTGAAAGTCATGCCAATGGCCACCACCCAGTCTTCCAGAAGCCTTAGATTTGCCTGCAGTCTACCTGAGTCCTCCGGACACTTTATCGCCCTCCATATCTTCGCGTCATCAGCGTATAGAAGAGTCGGGCAGCTTAGACGGCATGGTAGATCATTGATAAAAATCAAGAACATCAGTGGTCCCAGGTAAGAACCCTGCGACACTCCTGATGACGAGCTGTGCCAAGATGATCGGACTCGATTGACCTTGGTGCAAAATTGCCTTTCAGCTAGGTTGTCCTTCAACCATGACAGAAGTGGTTTACCTAAACCTACCTGGCTTATTTTGTGTAGGAGAAGGTCATGGTGAACAGTGTCAAATGCCTTCTAAAAGTCTAGAATGATCACATGGACTGGAACATTCATATCCCAGCATGATGTCCAGTCATCCCAAGATGATAATAAGTTAGTGACGCAGGATCTGCCTTTCCTGAAACCGTGTTGGGCTTCATGGAATATTTTAGACCTATCCAGATATTCCCCGATGTGATCATCAATAATACTTTCCAGTACTTTTGATACCACTGGGAGTAGAGCTACTGGTCTATAACTAGTGGCAATTTGCCTATCCCCACCCTTGAAGATCGGAGAAAGGATGCTTCTTTTCCACTCCTTTGGCAGTGTCCTCGATTCCATGGAGTGTTGGAACAAGTCGCATAAAGGCCTACAGAGAGCTTCGGTGCACTGTTTCAGAACAGATGGCCTGATGTCATCACAACCTGGGGACTTCCCAGGTATGAGTCGCTGCAGCTTTCTTAGTACAATTGCAGGGTTTATTTGGGGGGTGGCTATTTGGTCTTCCTCCTGTGAAATAGTCATGCCACCATTTTGGTTCGTAACGGTAATAC